AAAATCAGGTAACGCCCACCCCAGGTAACGCCCACCCCAGGTAACGCCTACCCGAGCCGTGACGTGGTCGCCGAGACCCTCGACAGCGCATCCGAGGAAATCAAATCCCGGGCCAAGATTCGCCACTGTCGCAGGCGCGAACGCCGTCACCTCCTGCCGCGCCACGGCTGGCGGCGCGTCCAGCAGCGCCTCCAGATATTCCGGCGCAGATGCCGCTGACGCTGTGATCGCGGGGCGCGCGGCGCAGACGCGGGACTGCCGAAACACGGGGATCGGCGGAGGCGGAAAGGCGGAACGGGAGCGATGGAAGGCGTGGGGGGGGAGAGAGAAGGGAAGGGGGTCATCGGGGAAGGGGAAGGGGAAAATGTGGAAAGGATCATGGAGGTCCCCTGATGTGATTCGAGATATGTTGCGCAGAGGTGGGTTATGGGAGAGTCGTAACGCGTACAAGCTAAACGCACATTGTGCTTGAACGACCTGTGAAGCATTCGCCGTACCTTCGTTTTCCGCTGCGCGGGCTTGGCGCGCAGGGTAAGCGACTGGCGGGGGAGCAGCGCTGAGGGTGCGCAGCTGGTCAGCACGCGCGGGCGGGTGACTGCGCCATTTGGCTCAGACGCGGGGGCTGCGGGCGCAGAGGTGGCGGAGGGTAGGCGAACGGCGACAGAAGCCATTGGCGCGATCGAGGTCGCGGATTATTCGGCGGGATGCGCACGTATTAGCCAAGGATGCTGATGTTAAGGTGTGATTTTTGGGTTCAGGGCCGAGGTTCAGGGAAATCGGAAATTGGTGTTGATTTTTTCACAAGAGCTTTGTGCTGATGTTTATCTACAGCATGGGAAGCTGTAAGCAAAAACGATACTATGGTTTCGTGATATTCGTATTTATCGAGCTGTACTTGTAGCGAGTAGTAGACTGCAACCGTCACATCGTTCCACACGGCAGCCAGAGAGTCTGCCACGTGGAAATGATGCTGATTTGGCACATCCAATCGAAGATTTCAGATCTTCCGCATGACATGCGGTGCGGAGCGCATCGCCTAGAAACCTGGCTTTCCAGGGACAGGGGAGGCAGATCACTCCCCTCCCCGCAATGAGTGGGGAACCCGCAGCTCGCTCCGCTCCGCACAGACTCGATTGCCCCAGAAAGCTAGATTCCCCCCCTCTCGCTTTATCTCCATCAGCGCACTCCTCCCCTTCCACCCCGGCACCCTCCGCGCCACCACCCACCTCCAACCAGGCTAATTTGCAGCTCCCAATTGCGGATCACTACAATTTGCAGATTTCTAAACCTAGGCCGCGAATTTGTGCCGTGCCTAGTAGCTCCTTCACGACTACTCGTGCATAGTTCCTCAATTCCGCTGAAATTGTACAATTTTGGTTCGACGTGCAGCGGTAGGCACTTGACCAGAGATCTAGTATCAGTTTTTGGAACACGTAGGTCGTGTCGGACTTCATTAGTATCCACGTTGCCATGTCGACGCCAGTCGCGTCGTGCCATTCGCGCGCCGCAACCACAGCGGGGCTCATCCCCCGCTGCGCAGCATCCGCTTCTACTTCCCAACTGCGCCTCGTCTCTGCCACAGGCGTAACATCAACAGCCGCATGCCGCGCCGCTCCCCGTCAGCGCGCAGCTTTCCTTCCCCGCCCAGCCCTCTCCCCGCGCCACCTCTCCTCCGCTTCCGCCCTCGCCCCCTCTATCCCCGCTCTCTCTGCTCTATCCGCGCGCCAACCCCGCCTCCCGTCTCGCTCGCCAGGCGCAGTGCGCGTTCACGCGCGCGGGGGAGGCGGAGACGGGAGCGTGGGGGTCCCGGAGCGCATCCTCTCCGCCAGCGTCTACTTCCTCCCGCTCCTAGACGGCGCGCGTTACGCGCGATTCCTCTATGCGCAGTACCCCTTCACGCGCGTGATCCTCGATCCAATCATCCCGCTCGTGCAAGCCTACAACTCCTTCCCGTACGCGGGCCTCATCCTCTTCTTCCTCCTCTACCTCGCCGTCATCCGCAACCAAAATCTCGACCGCTACGTGCGGTACAACGCGATGCAGGCCGTAATTCTCGATATCCTCATGATCCTGCCGTCGCTCATCGAGCGCCTGTTCGCCGGCAACGACGGTATCTCGCTACAGCTGACGATTATTTTCTACAACACCGTGTTTCTGTACCTCTTCGCGTGCTTCGTCTTCGGCGTCGTGTCGTGCCTCCTCGGGAAGACCCCCCGCTTGCCCATCGTTGCGGAAGCCGCCGACGCGCAGGTGCCATTTTGAGTGGGGATTGCGCGCGGGGGGGGAGAGGTGCCTGCGAGGGTGCTCGCGGGGTTCCGCCGGCCCGTTCCGCTGCGGGATCCGCGGGGTGGTGAGTATGTGCTGTTCACGCGGCGCATATCTTTCACCATTTTCTGCTTCGTCTAGTTCATGTAGAATTGACTTGCCTTCGTTTGTTTCCCCTACGTGTTTCTTTACTTTGTAGTTCAACGTAGCTACTACGGTTGCAACTTTTTTTTCTCAGCCGTGGTGGTTCCATGGATTAAGAACATCAGAGCCGCAACCAGCATCACTGGGAATTGAACATCACTGAAAACGAACTTGTCAACAGAACCAACCCTTCACAAATAATCTGCTTTTCTTCACAACCCTCCCGACCTCCCCCTCCCGTCCCCCACCCTCACCCTCCAAACCCGCCCACCCAATCCCCCCCCCCACTCCCCTCACATCCACCCCCTCCTGCGTCACCCCCATTCTCCTCCTCACGCCCCCATTCCCCTTCTTCCGCCACCAGCCCCCATCCCCCCCCACCCCATCTCCCGGTTCACCATTTCTCCCCTCGCCCCCTCTCTCACCGCCGTTTCTCTCCCCTCTACCCCCCATCAGCCCCCCCCAAAACCACACCCCCCCAGGTCCACACCCCCCACACCACCCCTGCCATTTCCCTCCCATCTCCCTTCTTCCCTCACCTCGCTTCCCAACTTTGCGCTGCCATTCCCACCCGCCATCACTGCCTCATTCCCTCGCTCCCATTCTCCTCCGCCCCACTCCCCTCTCCTCACCACCATTTCCCTACTCCCTCATCTGCATTCCCTCTCACCTGTGTTCCCCTCTCACCTCATTAGCACCATTAAAGAACATGTATGGAGCGTTGTGAAAGCCCAATGCACTTGGGAAATACCAATGTACCCACCCACATTAACACCACCTTTGTGTAGTGCATTCCAGACTTGAACCCATGCTGATCAGCCTAGTGGGTTGATTCGTCCAAACTAGTGCAGTGCAGCAATGGTTACCAGAGCTGTCTGCAGTGCCGAAGATTGCCTCACCCATCGTACAGTTTTATGGCTTCTATCTGCTTCATTGAACATCTGGGGGTCATACAATCCTTGCATGCCCACCTTACTGAGAGACAGCAATGCTGGTCACATAACAGCTTTCAGTCAAATATGCATGGTTTGTGTTCTTAGTCTGTTTATTTTTATTTATTCTGTAAGATGAGCTTATGGAAGAATGCAGAATCATGCTAGTCAAATCAAGTGTTTGTAGCGATATTTCCCGTTTGCAAAAAGTGTTACAGGCAAATCCTGGAATTCTATCTGGGCTCGAAGCATCCCGACCAGATCAACTGTTGGCGCCGATTTTGTTTCTTGTCTGGTGGGGCATGCAATGCAATGCCACCTGAACTGAATTGAAGAAAAGCAAAGCCGTGATTCGTGGACAGGTTCTTTACAGTAAACCGTACCGTACGGTAGTTGGATTTCGTAACCACTTCAGGTGAGAATTCTCCCCTGAGAGCTGCCGTTCATCCCGCTGCTTATCACCCTGACAGGACACAACGAACCGCTGTTTATGTTTCTTTCCGCCCTCCATGTTGTCGCACCGCTGCTGGTGACGGGAGGAAGGGGTCTCCTGGGAAGCGGGAGTGCGAAACGCCACATCTATGCAGCGAGTGGCGCTCAATCATTCCCCTCGCTTTCTGCGAAACTCGCTGAATTCGTTTCGCCGACTTTGCCTGCGCCTTGCTTTGGTGAATCTGAGAAATCCGCGTCGCATGTCGGTTCCTGATTTCTCCTGACTGCACTGGTTCTTGTCTTATTGGCCCTCAGCCTCAGGCAAATGTGCCATCCATGCCATGCCATGTCAAAGGGAGCTCTGTTCACACAGGGCACAGCCTTTCCCCACTGCGGCGTCGCGTCGCCCTCACACATGTCCTCTCTCACCTCGCAATTCTGCACCACAGCAATGCAGGACAAGAAGCCAATTTCAACAAGCACACGGGTCAACATTCCCATTCGCTAGACCAGACATAAACCTCAACTTCATTGCTTGAGGCTCCTTATTCAACACCAGCTGCAAATCGTTGACAGCCTGAATATTCCAGCCACACTCATCCCACGTTGCTCCATTCGGGAACCACAGCGAGGGAGTCCGTTCCACGGGCAATCAAGCCTTTCCAGCCCGAGCTTCAACATGCACCAGCGTTGTCGGTGGGACTCTCTGTAAATCTGCGACCGTCTCCTTTTCTCGCAACGGGGGTTCCGTACGTGAAGGCAATACCCGCACCTCCCGCAATACCCAAACTAATGTGTCACAGCCTCGCCTGATGCCTCCGCAGCGCATCGTCTCGCTTATTCAACACCAGCGCACCGTCTCGCCTGTTCTTCGGCGCAGCGCCAGACCGCATTATTAGGACTAAGAGAAGCAGCGTCTTACTTCGTATTACGCACTGTAGACAGATCGCAAGCACCTTGCTACAGACTCGTCGCAAAGCATCAGCCTACGCTTCCGCACTCGTCGCGAAGCTGTCGTGCAAAGAGAGCTCCATAGCTTAGCCTACGCTTTCAACGCGCCTCAGAACCAGACTACGCGCCTACCACCAAGTGGTAACCAGGTTACCTGCACTATCGCGTCGACCTCACCGTCCCGCTTGTGTCGACCTTCTATCGAACCTTCAACCAGCAAACTACGCGGGAGCCGGATACCGATCTACTGGGTTATCGTCGTTAATCGCTACAGCCATGGAGAATACAAGGAAGTGCGTGCGGTGGGAGATGGGGTCGCCGCTGTGCGTGCGATCGCCCGTGTCGTCGTTCACGGCAGGCGCGTTCAGCGACGGCAAATCGCGATCCAAGGTAAAAAAAACATCTGTTGAGTCGTTAAACTTGCGTGATCATGTTCTTTGAGGGGAGGCAGCATCGCGAATTCCCGTATGGGATAACCGCATCTGCGCAGCGATACCCGACGATTCGGTAGCGAGACGTCATGCAGACCCGATGCCGTCGCGCCGGACACGAACGGGGATAAGCACCCTAGGATGAGGGCGAAGCGGCTGTAGCATGGGAAAGGACGCTGATGGCCGAGGGAGTGCGGACTGTAGAAGGAAAAAAGGGGGAGGCTGTAGCAGAGGCGTTACGGTGGTTGTAGCAGATTGGGAGCAGCGCAGGTCAGGTATCGCTGACAGAGAGAGCGGTGGTTTGCTCGAGATCCTATGCAGTTGTGCGCGGGCAGGCTTAGGTTCGAACTGATCATCCCTTCCCAGCCTGGTTGTGCCCGGGCTGGCCGGGCCGAGGCTGACCGTGCCGCGGCTGGCGGTGCCGCCGGGAGGGGGTTGGGCGGGAGCTCAGCAGCGGAGGGGCGACGCAGCAGGTTGTAGGGAATCCGGGCCGGAGGAACAAGGAGGGAGTTAGGATCAAGAGAGAGATATTCTGAAGGCTCGCAAAACCAGACCCGAAACCGAAACCAGGCTTTGAGATTTGGCTCCTTAACCCAGCCCATGCTATCCGTCTCACTCCTCTATCCCTCCCCCTCCTCCTCACCCCTCCCGCCCCCCCCGTCCCCCCATCAGGCCTTCTCAAGCCGAGTCCTATCGACAGCGCGCCTCGTCCTCGTCTTTATTCTCCTCGTCTTCTTCCTCTCCACGCTCTGCGCCACAATCGGCGTGCCTAAAATCGACCTATCGGAGCCCGTCGTTCTGATGCGGCGCGGCGACCGCCGGCTAGTCGTCAAGTACACTCCCAACTCGGCGGACGACGCTGCGACGCGCGCGATCGTGGATCCCGTCGCCGACCTGTCGCACCCGCGGCTGGCCAAGAGACGAGCGCTCATGCGATACCTGAACGAGGACCAATAACGAGGGAGGCGCCAGGTGGTGCATGCGGAGGGAGGCGCATATGGGGGAGGGGCATACGGGGGTGCATGTGGAGGGAGGTGCGAGTTGTGTCTGGGTCAAGACGAGCTCTGGAGAGAGGAGAAAAGAAGGACGCTATATCCGAGAGTGGGTTGAACATGAGGGTATGGTATGTGAGCCGAGGCCCGCAAATGGATTGGGAATTCTAAGAGTAAGACGAGGAGTATGCAGATGCAGCATATGGCAGGCAGACGGACTATGAGACATTTTATAGCAGACGTAGCAGAGATACTGGTAGGAGACAAGTGTACCATGTAAAAGATGCAATCTTGATGTATAGTGTGACATGTGCTTATTCAACCCCCGCTTAGATGGGCCAGCACCATACTCTCGCTACAGATGGACTAGCTTGCATTTGGTCATACAGTAATAGAGGTGGCAGGCAAGTGATTTGCTTTACCTAGGTTGCTTATCATGATACCAGTATACTTTACTACACTGCTTGGAGAAGCAATGTATGCATGAGCTGGCAGAGGGTGGCATGACAGGGGCTGATGACGTGGTATGTGCAAGCAGGGCAATGGCAGGGACAGAGAGAAGTAGTATGGCATGGCATGTGGCATGGCATGGCGTTTCTCCCATGGCCTGGCACAGCACATGCCGAAATCAGCATCTTCGGCATCATCTCAGTGCTTGCCAGCACCACATCAGGCTGTGTTGACTGCCGCAGGTCTGGCCGAAGCAGCCGGCGAGGCTCGGATGACAAGCAGGCGGTCGTCAGGCCCCCAGGGAATGGGACTGTCCTTGTGGGAGGGGTTGAGGTGCCACTCCCCCCGGTGCCGATACGCTATCACCAACTCCTCACTCATGCGCACCCGCGCCTGGAAGTGGGGGGGAGGGGGGGTGGGGGAGGGGAAAGGGGAGATTGGGGGCAAGGGGAGATTGGGGGCAAGGGGAGATTGGGGGCAAGGGGAGATTGGGGGCAAGGGGGTCGATTGAGGGGCATTGGGAGGGAAGGGTTTTAAGGGCAGGGAATGGGTTGGTCCTTGTGAGAGGGGCTGAGGTGCCACTCCCCCCGGTGCCGATACGCTATCACCAACTCCTCACTCATGCACACTCGTGCCTGATGGGGGGTGGGGGAAGTTGGGGAAATGTTGCCGGGGTGGGGAGGGTGAGTGGGGGGAAAGGAGGCACAGGACATGCAGGGGGAAGAAACGCTATTACCAGCCCCTCACCCTAACAGCTTCACATGCTTCCCCTCATTATAATCACACCTGCTCCTCCCTTAAAAGCCCCACCTGCATCTCCCAGAGGTTGAAGATGCCTGCCTCGTGCTCCCCTATGAACTCATCTGCCCGCCGCACTGCCATGCGGTTCCTCTCTGACCCGATTATCTCGTCCAATACCGTTCCGACATCTGGCAGGGGTGGATACGACAACAAGGAGTGGGGGGGAAGGGGAGGAAGGGGAATGGGGAGGAGGGGTGTGTGGAGAGGGTATGGGATGCATAGGGCTTTGATATGGAAGCAGAGGGGGGTAGGGGGAGGGGAAGGTGGGAGGGTGGTTTGATAAATGTGGGCCTTGGGCACATTTTCTTCACGTGTGCTCGCTGCTCGCCGCACCGCCATGTGGTTTCTCTCCGATCCGATTATCTCGTCCAATACCGTGCCCACATCTGGCGGGGCGGAGGGGTTTGAGGGAGGGGTGGGGGAGAAGAAATTGCGTGCAGGAGGGGGGGGGGGGGGTGTTGATGAATGCGGTTCCTCTCCGACCCAAGTATCTCGTCCAATGCCGTGCCCACATCTGGCGGGGAAGACACCAAAGAGGAAAAGGGATTTGCGGAGGGGGAGGGCGAGGGGAATGCGGGGTCTTATCCCTCGTTCTCCCCCTCGCTGTGGCGCGGCACAATGGAGGATGGTTGACAGAGATTGATTTTGGGCAAGAAAATCCAAGAATTCAGGGATATGGGGGGGTTGGAAATATAGCCATACTTATACCCCTCACGCAGAATACTTTTGAGACGTCTCAAAAGTAGAATACTCACTCACTACCCTTCCATCTCACCCGGGTCATGCGTGATCTGAGCCAGCACTTGAGCCTCCAGGTGCTCGGGGCACACTGCCCCGTCCAGAGCGCCACCGTCCAGCACTTGAGCATACCGCACCACCTGCCAAGGCCTGAGAGTGCTTGCTCACCCCTTCCCCTGCCCCAGTCTCACCCGGGTCGTGTGTGATCTGAGCCAGCACTTGAGCCTCCAGGTGCTCGGGGCACACAGCACCATCCAGTGCATGCCGCTCCACCTGCCTCGCCACGTCCCTCTCACTCGCCGGCACCTCTGCCACAATCGCTGCCTCCTGTGCTCTCCCCCTGGATGCCTGGCAGGGACAGTGCAAGGGGCAGGGGAAGAGACAAGGGTAGGGACAAAGGGAGGGGCAGAGGGAGTGGCAGGGGGAAGAGGGGAAAGAAGGGCGTTTGAAGGATGTCACGTTGTTTCACTCAGGTACTGCTGAACCTGTCCCACCACGACACCATCCAGTGCATGCCGCTCCACCTGCCTCGCCACGTCCCTCTCACTCGCCGGTACCTCCGCCACTATCGCTGCCTCCTGTGCTCTCCCCCTGGCGGCCTGAATAAGAGAGTAGGGAGACAACAGGGAGAGACAGGGGGAGGGACAGGGGGAGAGGCAGAGGGGGGAGAGAGAGTGGGGAGAGAAAGCAGGAGAAGAGAGTTGGAAGAGGAAAAAGAAGGGGGTTTGGAATGCGGTTGCAGGGACCCCACAAACATGAGCAGGTATGGGAAGGGTGGTTGCCTTGATTGCCTTGTATGGGAAGGGTGGTTGCCTTGATTGCCTTGTATGGGAAGGAAGGCGTGAGTTGGTTGCCTGATATGCAGAGCAGTCAGTGTGACTCGTCATTTATCCACAACTCCAAAGCACATGAGCAAACAACAAGAAAGTGCCTGAACCTGAACGTACATGGGGAAACACCTGATAAGCACCTGAATGCTCCTGATAAGCAGCGCGGTCACTGTGGCCTGCGAGCTGTCCACCATGCCAGCATCCTCCTCCCCGTCTTCCCCATTCTTCCCCCCGTTGACCTGCGTTGACTGCAGCAGAATCACCGAGTCGACGGTCTCAAGAGGCAGCGACTCTAACACCTCCCTGTCTGCTGGGCTGCCACGCTCTGTGAAGAGAAGGTGGGGAAAGGGAAGAGGGAGTGGGCGTGAGGTGGCGGTTGGGGGTTGGGTTGGGAGGGCACGTTGACTTGCGTTGACTGCAGCAGAATCACCGAGTCAACTGTTTCTAGGGGTAGCGACTCCAACACCTCCCTGTCTGCTGGGCTGCCACGCTCTAAAAAAGGGGGAGGATGGGAGGAGGGGTGAGGAAGGGAGGGAGTGGGAATGGGAGTTAAGTGGGCGTTGGGGCATGTTGGAGTGTTGGGGAGAGAGGGGGGAGGAGAAGGGATGAGAGGGGAAGAATCGAGGATGAGGAGGGTGTTGGGCCACTGCACTGTGTGTGTGTGAGTGGTGGAGAGAGGGTGGGGTTTGAAGTGGAAGGGAAGAGGAAGGGAACGAGCTGGGTGCCGTGCTGACTTGCATCGAACGCAGTAGTAGAGCCACCTTCATGCCCCTGACCCAACTCCCTGCCCCAACTCCCTGCCCTGACTCCCTGCCCCCACTCCCTGTGTCTGCGAATGTTCACCAGCAGCAGCTCGTCTGCTGGGGAGATGTGAGTCGCCACCACGGTCACCTCACTTCCTGAGAGGACTGCTCACACATTGACTGCTCTCACATTGACTGCTCTCACATTGACTGCTCTCACATTGACTGCTCTCACATTGACTGCTCTCACATTGACTGCTCTCACATTGACTGCTCTCACATTGACTGCTCTCACATTGACTGCTCTCACATTGACTGCTCTCACATTGACTGCTCTCACATTGACTGCTCTCACATTGACTGCTCTCACATTGACTGCTCTCACATTGACTGCTCTCACATTGACTGCTCTCACATTGACTGCTCTCACATTGATTGCTCTCACATTGACTGCTCTCACATTGACTGCTCTCACATTGACTGCTCTCACATTGACTGCTCTCACATTGACTGCTCTCACATTGGCTGCTCTCACATTGACTGCTCTCACATTGATTGCTCTCACATTGACTGCTCTCACATTGACTGCTCTCACATTGACTGCTCTCACATTGACTGCTCTCACATTGACTGCTCTCACATTGACTGCTCTCACATTGACTGCTCTCACATTGATTGCTCTCACATTGACTGCTCTCACATTGACTGCTCTCACATTGACTGCTCTCACATTGACTGCTCTCACATTGACTGCTCTCACATTGACTGCTCTCACATTGACTGCTCTCACATTGAGTGCTCTCACATTGACTGCTCTCACATTGACTGCTCTCACATTGACTGCTCTCACATTGACTGCTCTCACATTGACTGCTCTCACATTGAGTGCTCTCACATTGACTGCTCTCACATTGACTGCTCTCACATTGACTGCTCTCACATTGACTGCTCTCACATTGACTGCTCTCACATTGACTGCTCTCACATTGACTGCTCTCACATTGACTGCTCTCACATTGACTGCTCTAACATTGACAGCATCATATTCACCAAGTCAAAGAATCCAAGTGGCACTCACTCATGCGGATTGGAAGCTTCCTGTGCCTGCGAATGTTCCCCAGCAGTAGTTCGTCTGCTGGCGAGATATGTGTTGCCACCACCGTCACCTCACTGCCTTGTGCCAGTATCGAGGGCAGCAGCTCCACCAGCTGCTTTGCTTCCGGCCGCCACCCGCATATAAGCACATGCTGCTTGCCGCCCACGCTGCTGCTGCTCGTGCCACATGGCGCTTTCTGAGTGGCTGCCGGGACAGCTGCAGCAGTGAGCTCGGAAGGCGGGGGCGGCAGGCGGCTGGGTCCCGGGCGGTAGCTGTTGCGATCCGCTGCAATCACCAGGAGCTTGTC